TTACTAAAGTCTTAAATAAACATAAATGTAAAATTTATATCCTAATTAAAAATTAACAATCTAAAATGCAAAAATTTATATTTTTAAATAAAAAAAGCAAAATTTATATATTGATCTGCACCTTTACTTATTAGTGCAGTATATTCAAATTGATTACTATAAGAATATTAATATCTCCACCATTATCCTTATTTTACCTTTTATTTTTGCCCTCTAGTCTAGTAACCTTATTTCCCACTCTTCACAAATAATTGGACATCAATACATAAAGAAATAACTTAATGAAAAGACTTGCCCTTAACGTTTTCCTGCCTGTCTTTATTGTTGTCCATTTCCCCTCTTGTGTGATAATGAGAGGACAATCTCAGTGGTCACTCTATTAATAACAAAATTATATTCTTATTTTTTTTCCTGATTCACATCACATGCGTTTGAAAATTGCTTAACAATACTTTGTTCTGCAGTCATTAAATTTATTTTCATTAATATATATTTTAAACAAATATAAAACATGTTTGAAAAATAATACTATGCCCTATTATAGGGTGTGTGTCAATATCTGGCATAGCTAATTTTATTAACTTATAATTTTTTTTCTTTTACCTATTTAGTTGGGATATTTAAAAATATTAATTTATAAATTAATTTTAAATTATTAAGTATTATATATTAATCATTTTATCATTTATCAATTGTTTCTAACATTCAAATCAAAATCAACCCATAATTTTTTAGCAATAGCATAATACATAAACAACTACAATTATATTACCATACACCTATCTCAAACTGACCGGAAAAAATGTGTAGAGATACCAACCGGCTTCATGTTAACGGAGAATTGATTTGAGTAGAGAGGTAGTGTAGTGCAATAAAAAGGAAGGAGGAAGATATGGGTTGGTTCGTCGGTGTCAACCGTACTGACCCACTCACCAATTAATCTTCATCCACCGCTTTTTATTAAATGAGGAGACATTATTTAAACTTTTCTTAGAGAATACTGTAGTATAATTTATCATACATAAATTACATTCTTTTTAATAATGGATGAAAGGATAAATCTTTAATGTTATAAAAAAATATAATCTATATAAACTTCAGTTTTTGAAAATTACAAACAATGACATATATACCAACCGGCCAGAGGCCCAATGGTTAGTCCCCAAGCCTTAGGGCTTGGGTGAGGCGGAGGTCAGGGCTTCGAGCCCTGCTGCCGCCGTGAACTCCACCAACTTGCAATCTAGCAGTTGCGCGCCTCAAATGAGGGGGTGGAACGTTTACTATCCTGGAAAAATTCTAGCTACTAACAAACTAACTCTACTAACTTCCTAACCATCTACCTGGTCAAAAAAAAAAAAAAAAAAACAATGACTTATATACATCTCTCTCTTTGGATCTAGTGACATTAACCCCGTTAAGTAGATGCATCCTCTCTCCTTAGGGGCGTTTGATCCCATCTCATGTTAAATTAGGTTTTTTTTAAAAAGTTAAATAATTGTTGATGATGGAACCTCTACATAGTATTTCATTGGTTTTCAAGTTTTTGGGCCAACTTAGAAAAAGGCAAAAAGCCAAGAAACATGTGAAATGAAAGGGATTGACAAGAGAACACCAAAACCCTAACCCAATTTAGAGAATCCAAAAAAACTTCTTATTCCCAATTTCAGGCCAGTTGACAACAATGAGTGATGTCTACACTCTACACCCTACAGCATCGGCGTCGTTTTGCTGGAGCTGCTAACTGATAAACGGCCCATGGGCCGTAGCAGAGCCTGCTGAATGGGCTTGCAAGCTTGAGCCTTGAAGGGCAGTAGGGCACCGCAGTACCCCAAGACCAGGCCCATAAAGGCTGACATGGTCAAGAGTCAATCCCTGGAGTCTGGGCTTTGAGCCTTTGAGGGAGTATTCATTGGATCTTTCATCATGTATGCAGTACTGGATGAAAATGACGGCGGGAGAGACAAGGAGGAGGCAAGGAGCGGAATTGCCGTCGTGGCGGCAGTCGAAGGTGGAGACACCGGAGCAGGCTGCCGCTCTCCTCGACGGCCAATTCAGATTCTCCATGTTTTAGGAGGATGGGAAGTTAACTTCTTGTTTGTTTTCGGAAAACTTAACAACTACCTACCACAAATATTTAATAGTCGGTCAAGAAAGGGACAGAAATCTAATAATATTTCTCAATCAAATAAACAAGAAAACTGAAATCCAAGAAAAAGAAAGAAATAAAAGTGGAGAAAATAAATATATTCTCTGGAGATAATTTACAGATTAATACATAATAAATTATAATTTTAGAGGAGCCTTAGTTTTAATTGAGGGAATTAAGGGGTAAAGAGAGGAAGAAAGGATAAAAATGTCTCATTTTTGTGTTTGAATTATCAATTTTAATAAAAGAGAAGGGAGACGAAACCCTATCCATTTTTTAATTTTCAATCCATCTAAACGAAAGGAATTGGTTATAAATTTAATATTTTTAATTTTTTTTAAAAAGTAAATATATAAAACATATTACGTCAATTACTTTTTTAATTAATAAATTTTAAAAGTTTTATTTTATTATTTTAAACTTTTTATTAAATAAAAAAATATATTTTTTAATTTACTTTTCCCTATCTAAATAAAGTTAATACTGATACGAACTCCATCAAACGATTCGATGGTCACGCATCTCAATAAAATCAGTGGATTATTTACCAATTTGAGTATCGAATCTTCAATTATTAACATCTAATAATATTAACTTATTAACCATTACCTTTATAAAAAAAAAATTAATACTGATATTTTTTTTCCTTTCACTTCTCCTTGATTTCATTTCCCTTTACTCTCGTTTCTTTCGTTCCCTTTCCTCTCATTTATTAATTTTTATTCAAATAAATACTAATAATATATTTGATTTAAATGAAATAAAAGGAAAACATTCTTCCCTTTTATCCTCTTAATTTTCTTTGTACAAAACACATTCTAATCACAACAGGCTGAGTGAAACAATTCCTATTTCACACAGTGCCTTTCCTTTCCCTTCCTTTCATTTTCGTTGACCTAAATACACATCCTCAGTAAAACAAACACAAATAACATATTATAATTCTTCCCTCAGCTGCCTTTTATTTTCCTCAAACCAAACAGACCCTAAACAAAAGAACAGCCTTTTTGTTTTCCCACAAATCCTTTAAGCACAGGCACAAGGGCTATCAGCGTCAGCGGTGCCGGTAGTTTCGTCGACAAACTCCGTCCGGAAGGCGAGGTAGCCGGCAGTGAGTCCGAGGACGATGGCCAGGAAGACACCCCCGTTGAACGACATGACGGCCAACATCAACAAGTACCCCAGTCCCGAGCTGACCCCGAAAGCCAACCCTTCAGCGATCCTCATCAATGACCACTTCTTTGCCGCAGTCGCTGCCTTCCGCCCCTCCAGAAGAGGTTCATCCAGCTGGGCCGCCGTCCCCTGGACCGATTTTCCAGCCTGCCTGAGGCGGAATCTTATGTGCTCCACGTACTGGTAGACAGCGGAGGCAACAACGCAGGCGAGAAGAGTGAGGGAGTATGTAAGCCAGGAGTCAGTCATCCAGGAGCTGAACAGGAGAGTCACCTCCCGGCTCCAGTAGAAGGTCATGTGCATCATCTTCTTTGATTTTCCTGTGAAATTCTCAAAGAAACGGAATAAAGGATTGGAAATGGTAGTTGGATATTGCCTTCGTTTGAGGTGGTCATCAAGAAGTTTTCAACAGTTGTACTTCTGCAAAATGCCTTACTTTCTCTCGTATTTACGATATTAGGCAATGATCTTGGGGAATTTGAAACTTTTTGTGTGAGTGTCTTTTTGGAATATTGAAGATATTTTTTCTTTACATTAATTTTTTTGTGGGCTAGTGGTAGACTGGTAGTTGTATCAATATAGCAACTTCGTGAGTGGAAGATATGCAGGGCAGGAGGAAATTATGATTTCATAGGAATAGTTTTGGAATGAAATGAAATATGATAAGATTCCGAGTAACTTTAAATTGACTAATTTTAGAGTTATAGTATATCTTATTTTTATTTAGAAAAGTTTGAATGTTAATTTGGCAATTGGTCTACGTGGACATGATTATTATGTTTTCGGCTCTAAGCCCTAATTGTGGAGTTTTTTATTCTATATTAATATCAAATGTGTGAGTTTGTTTGAATGTATATAATTTTATATAATTTTAAATTAATTG